CTGGGGCACAGCCAACCCACAGGACCTCGCAGGGCTGACCCAGCTCCTGCAGCACAGACTTGGCACAGACATGGAGCATCTCCTTTCCCTCAGCCCAGGTGTGGCTCCTGGCAGTGACATGTGTTTCCTCCCCAGGCCCACTGCCCCCGGCCACTGTGCGCTTGCTGAGCACTGGGCACCCCGACAGGCTGAGCGCGTCCTGGGGGGCCACGTCCGGAGGCAGAGACGGATACACGCTGACCCTGTACCATGCCTGGCTGGGCACCGTGGCAGCTACAGCCTCACTTGGAAGAGACACCCACAATTTCACCTTCACGGGACTGGCCCCAGGACACGAGTACTCCCTGGAAGCCAGTGCCATCACCGGACCGTACCAGGCAGCAGCACCCAACACGAGTGGCTGGACACGTGAGTGCCTGGAGCAATGTCCCCTTCGGAGGGGTGGGAGATGTCGCACCACTGGATGGTCCTGAGGAGGGCTGGGAGGTTCACAGCAGACCTGGTGCCTTTAGAGATGTGCACACAGTCATGCACAGGTGTGACGTGCAGCAGTTATTCAGGGAACACTGTTACCCTCATGACACATGGGTGTTCAGCTGTAGGCTTGCACAAAGACATGTTGATGACACACAGGACTGCCCAGCTGTGCCTGTGTGGGGACATCCCCTCTCCCTGCTGACCCTTCTCCCTGTGTACAGGAGCTCAGGAGTGTACAGGAGACCTGTACTCTACCTGTGTACAGGAGAATCTCCTCCAATAGGTACAAACAATATTACCATAAATGTTCATCAAATGAATCAGTTTAGTACAAGATGCTACTCCACAGTCCTCCCAGGAGAATGAGTCTTTGCTCTAGAGATGGACTAATCCAGCACTTCTCCCCAGACAGAAAGATTTTAGGGCTGGTCATTGTACAGAGGCTGTGCCAAGGCTGCCTGAGCCCCTGCAAACCAGCTGAGTGTAGGAGCACACGTGTGCACACAGCAGTGGCAAAGGCATTCCCGCTGGGCTGTGGGGATGATGGTCACCTGGGTAAGGAAGGGTTGGCACATGAGGGACCAGTAAAGGTGAGCATCATTAAAGGCTAGATTGGATGGAGACAACAACAAGGAAAGTGAGGATGAGGAGGCATGTACCAGATGGCATCTACGAGTCCCTGCCTCAGGAAGCACCTGTCCTGCTGCAGTGTCCCATCAAGTGTCTGTTTCCATCTGCATGGTGTCCAGTCCCTAACATCATGTCTGGTGGTTCCCAGGTCCGCTGCCCCCAGCCACTGTGCGTTTGCTGAGCACGGGGCACCCCGACAGGCTGAGTGCATCCTGGGGGGCTGCAGCTGGGGGCAGAGACGGATACACATTGACCCTGTACCACGCCCAGCTGGGCACCGTGGCAGCTACAGCCTCACTTGGGAGAGACACCCACAACTTCACCTTCATGGGACTGGCCCCAGGAAGCAAATACATGCTGGAGGTGGCATCCGTGGCTGGCTCCTTCCAGACACCTGCAAGGAATGTCAGTAACTGGACGTGTGAGTACCCTTTTTGAGGGGCATGTGCCTTGCTGGGCGGTCAAAAAGCTCATGGCAAAGGACATGGCCCTGCTGACCTTCATGGCAAGCCTTGCCTGGGGCACGTCAGTGCCATAGCACTGAGCAGGGCTTTGCCCACCCTCGTCACCAGCTCCAGCAGCCTGGGTGAGGGCAGCTGAAGTTCCGGAGCTGTGCTTCAGGAGAGAGTCATGGAGGAGGGAGCAGCAGATGGGGCATTCACCGTCCCCTCTAGCTGGCGGTGTGTTCCTGCCTCACCCCTCCCCAGGTGCCTCACTCCAGCTGGGACAGAGCTGTCCCTGCTCAGACAGGCACAAAGAAACTTGTGTAAGCTTTGAGCTGCCTCCAGGCTGGTGGGTGCAGCCACCCAGCTGAGCCTAAATGCCCTGTCCGGTGTGGTGCATCCCTTCTGATGGTGCTGCCAAGAGACCCAGGCAATGTCCTCAGACCTTTCTCTAATGTGTCTCCCATCCTGTCTCCCCAGACCCCTTGGCACCCCGTAATGTGTACATGACGAACCAGGGGTATCCCAACAGGCTGAGTGTGTCCTGGCGAGCTGAACCCCAAGGACAAGATGGTTACAGGCTCCTCCTGTATCATTCGGGATCAGGTATCGTGGCAGCCAATGTTTCTGTTGGGAAAGGCACCAGCAAATTCACTTTTTCTGGCCTGGCTCCAGGACACAAATACCTGCTGGAAGTGGGGTCTGTGGCAGGGCCCTACTCAGCCTCCGCGCAGAACATCAGTGACTGGACAAGTAAGTGACAGAGCCCCAGGGGTTGTGCATCATGCATGAGGCTCAGCCTTCCCCAGCTGAGTGGGCTCAGCACCTGTGGTGGGTAGGGACAGGGACACAGCCAGGACTGCTGCTTGGGAGCTGTAGGTAGGATCAGAGAATGGTTTGGGTTGGAAGGGACATTCAAATGTCATCTAGTCCAACCCCCCTGCCATGGGCAGGAACACTTCCCATTAGACCAGGTTGCTCAGAGCCCTGCCTGACCTGACTGTGAATATTTTCAGGTATAGGGTGGGATGGGATGTACCACTGTAGCAGTGGGTCCATGGGCTGGGCAAGCCCCTTTTGGAGGGGAGAGTGAGGCAGTACTGCTGCCCATAGGTCAGCCTGGCAGCCACAGTTGCTGTTTTGGGAGGCAGAGTCCACCCTGTGGCCCCACTGGCCATGCAGACTGGCTCATCCAGGCATGGGTGACTAAACAAAGAGTATGGGATTCCATGGCAGTAGTGCTGCTCTGGTAGAGGACACCCAGAGCCTGGTAGACCATGAGGCCTCACAGGCAGGGGGGGACACCCCACCATCCCTGGTGCCTTTCTCCCAGGCACTCAGAAATTCCTGGCCTGGGGGATAAGGGGAGGATGGACTTTTTGAGGAATGTAGAAATTGCAGATAAGCACAATAAGCCTTTTCATGTGCTTGTTCCCACAGTCCCTGCACTTTGCTTGGGGAATCCGGCAGTCCCTACTCCCACGCTCAGCCAGTCCCTGGCAGGGTGCTGAGAGTCATGAGCAGAGCCCTTTGGGCAAGTCTCTAATGAAATTTGCTAATTAGCAGAAGGAAGAACCCATCTCCTCATACTCCTCACTTTGCATGTCCTCCAGCTGCCATTTAAAGGTCATTTCTGGCAGCCAGCAGCTGCGGGAATGTTATCACTGAGCATGTGGAGTCTCCTTGTGAGCCACCCATCTCCTGCTTGTGTCTCTGTAGGATGGAAGAGAGCACACCCAAGCCAGTAACTCTCCCTGCTGTGGTTTTCATTGTAGCTCCCTCAGTGCCCCAGAATCTCTCGGTGGTGGCTGAAGGGAACAACACCATGCTCATCTCCTGGGACAGTATCTCTGGACAGCAGGATGACTGCCAGCTGTGGCTGCGGGATCCCCGGAACAGCTCACAGCCCTGGCGGCATGCCCTGGGCAGAGGGCAAGTCCAGCACCTCCTCCACGGGCTGGTCCCAGGCAGGAACTACTCTGTCTCCTTGAGCTGCGTGGCTGGGCCCTACTGGAGCAGCACCAAGCCCTTGGCAGTGCCGATGGGTGGGTACACAGTGCCATGGGGAGGAGCCAGGGCATGCTGGAAGGGGAAGAAACACCTGGGTGGTCTCAAGACTGGATCAGCCCTTGAGGGTCAACAGAGGCATGGGAAGTGTTTGTGGTGGGAGATAGGAAAGCCAGCAAAGTGACCCTAAGATAGCCCCATCACAGAGACTTGTCACCTCCTGGCTACCTGTGAAGCAGAGCAGACTCTGCAGTGATCTCCACTGATTGGCTTCTCCTGTAAGACATCAGCTCAGGCCCTGATCCATTTGTGTTGTCCTGCGGCCTGTGGCACAGCTCCTCTCACTGAACTCGGGACAGGCAGGCAGTGTGGCACTGGGCTGACACGGGCTGAGGTTGAGATTTCTCTTGGGATTTCTCTGATCCAGTGAGCCCAGAGTCTGCCCTAACTTCTTCACAGAGCCAAACCCAGTGAAGGATGTGCAATGCCTACCAGAGTCAAGGAGTCTTTACTTGAACTGGACGAGCTCTCCTGGAGATGTGCAAGCCTATGAAGTGGTGACAGAGAGACTCTCTGATGGACCTCCCACCTCCAAGTATGTCATGAGCATCTCTGTGAGCGAGGCCAGTCTAGAGGGGTTGGAGCCAAACTCTTCCTACCAAATTGTTGTGAGCACCGTGGGCATGAACACGCTGAAGAGCCAAGCTGTGACTCTGCTCTGCAGCACAGCAGTGGAGGGTGAGTCTCCTCTCCCACAGCCTTGCCACAGACCCCAGGAGAAGACATCCAGTGTTGCTAATTAGACCTGGGGACTCTCTCAGGTGCCTCTGAGCCCCATGAGGTTCTGCACTGACCTGCAGTGGATTGGGGCTCCAAGCAGTGCTGCTGGGGCCAGTCACAGGCTGAGCAGTGTGTAGTGGGGCTGTGGGAGTAGGGACAGGCTAACAGGCTGTGCTTGCTGGTTTGCCTTCCAGCCCTGCCCCCACCCCTGAGGGCAGACACCTTCCAGGTGGAGGCCAGTTCCACAGTTATCATTCCATCTGACCTGTTCAGCGAGGAGAACGGCCATATCGAGTATTACGGTGTCATTGCTACCACTAATGACTCACGTAAGCATCCCTGCACATCCCAGTCTGTGGTGGCTCCCTGGAGGGCAGCACGTGCCTTGGGCATCATTTTGGACTACCACTGTCACCTTGTACCTTCCCCTCCAGTGCTGAGGCCCACCCAGGAGATCATGTCCAGCACATGGTATGACCACTATTATGGGACAGAGGACTCCTACCTGGCAGTGCTCATACCCAACCCCTTCCACCCAAGCCCCAGGAGCTCCCCCGAAACCTGGCGAGTGCCAGTGGGAACAGAGGAGTGTGGCCAGTCCAGGGCAACGTGCAATGGGAAGCTGAAAGACAATGAACAGTACAGGTGAGAGATGTCAACGTCCCTCATGAGGGGATGGGACTGGAGGGTAAAAAGGACTGCATGTGTCCCTGCAAGGTGCCACCACGCCCATACCCCCCAGATCCCCAGCAGTGGGCCCCATGGGTTGCTCCACCAAGCAGTGTTTGAGGTATGCAGGGGCTGGCATGAGGGAAATATTAGGCAGTGTAGTGGGCAGGGAAAGGGAGACCTGAGACTGTCAAGAGCTGTGTATGTTGCCTTGGGCACTGGGCAGATGTCCACCCCCAGGGTGCTGTTACTTGTAGGACTTTAGTGTGTGACTCAGAGCCATGTGCAGACAGTGCAAAAATGAAAGTGATTTGGAAACATTAGTTCAAGTGGTGCCTAGTCACTGTGGGTCTCAGAGGTTGGGGGTAGCAGATGCTCAGATTAAGGTCCAAGTTCCCTGTGAAACGCCCACATGGATCCCAATAGGCATAAGTTCAGAGTCTTACTTGACAGTAGAATCCAGGAACATAGAGTTACATATTTTATTATAGGGTATCTTTAAAACAGTTGATGGTAAAACAGGTTTTCTACTACTAATAAAGAATAGTACCTTTAGTCAGTCCTGTTAATTTTGCAGCTGAGTTTCATCAAATGGGGACCATATCCACAGGCATTACTTTGATCCTCCAGAATCTGAAAAGCTGTTCCATTTCAATTTAAAGAAACTTGTAGCAAGGGTGGCTGACAGGGGATAAAGTCACTGAGAGTACTGGGAAAAGAGATGCCTTACCCTCAGGCATGGCAAAGCAGGATATGGGGGGATAGAGAGGGGACAGCTGGGGATGGAAAGAGAACAGCTGGGCACAAGGGCAGGGACTGTCAGCAGCCTTGTGGGGACTTTAACAACAGCACAAGCACACCAGGACATCCTCAACACCCAGGCATTGTCCAGCCAGGCTGAGGCTCTATACCTGCCTTTCCTGCTTCCCAGTTTTCACTCCAACATGGACCTCCCCCAGGGGAGAAGCTCATTCAGGGCCATAAGGTTGTCATTAGTCTGCCTACCATGATTCAATAATATGTATTTAACTGTCCAGTTACTCAGGACTAGAAGATCCTTTTGCACCTCTTCACAGTTTCTTTTCAGTTTGGCACTCTAAACAACCTAAATGTCCTCAGTACAATCAGCACTCAACCTAAATATCCTCAGTCTCTGACCTAAATATCTGCAGTAGGCTCTGCTGCTCTCCTAGTTATGATTTGTAGTGTGGTGAAAAGTTGACAGCCCATCCCGACTTGGAAATTCCACCTTCATTTCCTCTCTTTCACAGAGAGGAAACTGTTGTTTGTCCACAAGCCCTCATCTCTCATGCCATGCAGGCTCACTTTCCAAGGGGGTCTGTGCCCTGGCAGCTGGTTGCAGGGTGCTGCCAGAGGGGATCCACACATGTCTCCACAAACTCTTGGCTGCTAAAATCCAAAGCTACCTTTGAAAACCTTGGCTTGCATTTCAGGCACAAGAAGAACTGCCCTTCCAAGTCACCAGCTCAAATGGAAGTTATCTCTACAGAGAGCTGTGGGGATTGGTGTGCATGCTGCTGGGAGGGGGATGAGGAGAGGGATCTCCACAGGGACGAGGATTCACTAGCCACTCCTGCATGATTAAGGAAGGGGCTGGGTTGGGGCTCAGCCATCACAGCTGAGGTGCCCCTGTTTCAAACAGGGCTCAGTTCTTTCCAGTCAACCAAGAGGCAGAAAAGGGAGGAAGGACCATTGCCACACATCCCCTAAATACCTACCAGAAAACCTGTATTTTCCAGTTAGCATTTCAGGACAGAGGCAGTGGTCCTGTTCCCCTGGGTCCTCCCTGCTGGGTGCTGGGTGCTGTGCTCAACTCAGGCTGCCCCTGACATAGGCCTCTGCTTTGCCCTAGATTCAGCATTGCTGCCTTCACCAAATACGACCCAGTAGCCCCTGCAGTGACATTCACCCTGTTCTCAGGTAAGATGGAGAATGGCATCTTCCCTACCAGGCAGTGTAGGTGAGAGGTGATGACCCTGACAGTGCCTAGCCAGAGGGAGCTCATAGGCTGTAGCAAATGGAATAAATGGAAAAAATGCAGCCATTTAGCAAAGAGTCACAGAATGGTTTGGGTGGGAAAGGACCATCAAGCTCATCTTGATCAAACCCCCTGCCATGGGCAGGGACACCTTCCACTAGGCCAGGTTGCTCTAAACCCTGTCCAACCTGGTCTGGAACTCGTCCAGGGATGAGGCAACCAGAGCATCTCTGGGCAACCTGTGCCAGTGCCTCATCACCTTCATTGTAAGAAACTTCTTTACTGACTCTTACTTCTGTCTGTACTCTCTCTTTTTAATTCCAGCTGCTGGATCTGGTGCAGACACAACTCCACTCTCAATGCCAATAATCACTGGAATCATTGTGGGATTTCTCTTGACACTTGCAGCTATTTTTGCTTTGGTTTACTGGAAACAGCTCAGAGCAAAGAGGTGAGCATGAGCCATCTCTTACCTGGTGAGTGCAGAATGAGATACCCAACCTTCAGTGCCAGGCCAGGAAGAGAGCAGGGGGAGGGTGTAAAAAGAGATTTAGGCAAACTGGGATGTGGGGTAGTGGAGTTGTGCCTGGCAAGACCAGAAGCCAAAGGCAGAGGGGCGAGGGGAGCTGCCCGTGTGCAGTTAAGCCACAAAACACTACAGGTGTGCAAGGCAGTGTGCCTGCCTGAAGCCCATGAAGCCAGGGCTACACATTATCTTGCAGCATTGGTTCCTGCTCTGCATGGAGAAGTAACAGCTCCTGTGCTTTGATTCTAGGACTAAGAAGAGCAGCCTGCCCCAGGAAATGGTGACCTACAGCTTGAGGTGAGTGCTGAAGTACACCTGTTGTGTGTCCCCACTGCAGCTCCCACAGTCCTTCACCTAATTTCTCATCCTTTGACTCAGGAAACATCCATCTCTCTCTCCTCTCTTTCAGTTATTTTTCAAATTAGGTTTTTCCACGTTCAGTATTTGTTTTCTATTGCCATTCCAAGTCAATGCATTGTCCATACATCCCCTGCAAGACTTCTGCAGCAGGAGAATGTCCTTATCACCCTGAAATCTCTCCCAGTATAAACAATGCTGTGTTGGACCCACTTCTCTTGGCAATGACGTGGGCTATAAACCATCCCTGTGTGTGTGCATCCAGGTGCCGCAGGTCTCAAGGCTGGGCTGTCTCAGTGGCACCTGGCTGGCCGGCCAGACCTCCCAGTAGCTAAGGCAAGTTTTCCCTGGACTTCATTTCCTGCAGAAATGTCCACCGGCCAGTTCCGCTGCAGAACTTCAAGCAGTACTATGAGATCAAGACAGCAAGTGCTAACCATGCTTTTTTCCAGGAGTTTGAGGTGAGATGAGACTTCTGCTAGATGCGACGCTTGGTTTCCCTTCTTGGTAGCTCATGCTGTTGAGTGTTCTGTATGGAGTGCTCCTTTCCAGGGTCAGTCACCCATCTCTAGCAATCCAGCCACCCTACAAGGCAGCCTTGAAGGCCAAAGATTGGATGGACCAAGTGATCAGGCAGTGCCTTTGCTCAAAACCTGTTTTGTTCAAGTTCTGCTAGAAACACGTGTTGTCTGTGGCATGAGTGAAGGGCCCTAGGCCCAGATTGAAGGTGAAGATGAGAGGGGTGAGGATGAGATCTGCCCTGACAGTGTTAGAAAAGAGCCTTCAGCTAAAGGGAAGGCTGAGGAGCACTGACAGCTCCAGGGACAGGTTGTGAGCTTCACCTCGAGCTGCCTTGCTTCCCTGGCTCCCACTGCCAGCATCTGAGGCTCTGAACTGTTCTGCTGCAGCAACGTTCAAAGTCCCATCAGCAGTTTCAAACCCTCCTCAGATCACCCTTCTCTGGCCTCCTGAGTGAGGACAGGGGCATAAACAGATGCAGTGCAAGACATTTCTGTTTGCTTGGCACAAAACCCTATGTGCTGCTTGGTAGATTTCTGAGGTTTGTTTTCCCCTGTATTTGTTCTTGGGCTTTGCTTTTAAATACGAATAGTGCTGTTGGAAAAGGCAGTAGAAAGACGCCACCATGGCTCAGAGCGCTCAGGTCTTACTGACGGAGGAATGGAGCAGTTCCCTGTGCATGGGTGACCCTCTTTAGCCTCCAGACAGAGCCACTGGCCATGAGCAGGGAGCTGAGCTGGCCAGGTGGTCCCCAGAGGGATGTTTGTGCTTATCTTTTCCCCTGTCCTACAGGAGCTGAAGGAAGTTGGGAAGGAGCAGTCGAAGGTGGAGGCTGAACTGCCAGCAAATGTCTCCAAGAACAGATATCCCCATGTGCTGCCCTGTAAGTTCTGTCTTCTCCCTCCTCCCCTAGCATCCAGGGTGAGAGCTCACAGGACAGTGCACAGGGATGGGCTCACCTTGCATTGCTGCAGGGTTCAGTGCCTGACCCCTCTTCTGGGAGCAGAAGGACTCTTGAAATGGGCCTCAGTTTCCATTTTCCTGCTGGAGACTCAAGGCTTAATGGTTGAGGCAGGGCTGAGCCACCATCCTCCCCTGCTTCTCCAGTGCGCTGCTGGGTGAGCCCAGCTCAGGATGGGTCCCCGAGGCAGGGCTGAGCCACCATCCTCCCCAGCTTCTCCAGTGCGCTGCTGGGTGAGCTCAGCTCAGGATGGGTCCCAGCTGGAGACCAAAGGGGATCTTTGAGTGCCCTTTGGCTTCTTTGATGAGCCTTATGACACCAGCTCTTTCTGACCCTCTGCTAGCCCAGCCAGCAGGCAACACTCACCTCTGCAGGGAGAAGGTGCCTGATCGAGCACAGAGCCTCCCTGCTGGAGCTGCTGGGGCTTCTCCCACCATGCTACCCAGGTGGCTATGTCCTGGTGAAGGGCTGCCTTGGGGGCTCACGTCTGTGTGGTCTCTTTCAGATGATCACTCTCGGGTCAAGCTGAGCCAGCTTGGGGAGGATCCGTACTCAGACTACATCAATGCCAACTTCATGCCTGTGAGTGCCCACTCACCTTCCCCACAGAGACATGGCCATGGGACACCATCAGAGAAACTGTGCCTGGATTGAGGCTGTGAGGGATGGTGAAGGCACAGCTGGCACAGGCCAGCAAGGAGCTGGGGGTCAGGTGGAGATGTGTAGATGTCCTTTAGCAGGGGTTGATGCAGTCTGTCAGACAAGTGCTGTGATGCAGAGGTGTGCATGTGGGGAGACTGGCGATGCTCTCTGCTTTGTTCTTGTGGACTATCTATCGTCTTCCATCACCTCCCAGCTTACTGCCCTGTCTGTCTGCCTGCTCTCTCTCCTTCTGGTCTGTGCAGCTGCATTTGAGGCACCCTGGAGCTGTACCCACACCTCCCATCTGAGAGGTGTTCCCAGGTAACAGGCAGGGCACACAGCATGCATGTGCCAGCGTGTGGATCCATGGGGATGAGTGTGTCCAAGGGGCAAAGAGTCCCGAGACCTTGCATGCTCACCACACCCTCAGCAGTGAGTGGGAAGCACAGGGAAGACCCAGATCTGGTTTTCCCTGGCTAGGCTGAATGAGGAACTGCTGGAGGGAAACAGTGAGGGTCACTTATTTCCAAATATGTAAAGAGCATGTGCTGGACAGCATGCTTCCTGTGAAATCAGCTGCTTCTGAGGTCAGCTGCCCGGGGATAAACTGTGCCTGTGTGGGCTAAGGACAGCATGAATTTCTTCCTCTACCACAAAAGCAGACCAGGCACTGACTGTCCCAGGGCAGGACCCACCTGCCTCGGCAACCTGCCGACTCCTCTAGCTCTTGTGTGCCTCTTGCTCAGGGCTACACATCGCAGCAGGAGTTCATTGCCACCCAGGGACCCCTGAAGAAAACCATAGAGGACTTCTGGAGGCTGGTGTGGGAGCAGAACATCTGCAACATCATCATGCTGACAGTGTGCATGGAGAATGGGCGAGTAAGTTGGTGCCAGCCCCAGCCCAGCCCAGCCCTGGTGGTGTGAGCTGAGTCCAGGGCTCAGGGTTTGTGCCCTCCACCAGCCCCTGCTCTGATGTGGCTCCAGGATGAGCACAAGGCCACACAGCTTCCCTGACAGGCAGTTTTGGGAGAATAGGGGCTGATGTGTATAGCTCAGCCTTAGCTTGGGGCAGGCAGGGGCAGAACTGCAGCTTAGCTGGGACCATGTCCATCACGCTCAGGTATTTCTGTAGAATCTGAAATTGCCACTTCCTCTGGCTGAGACACCTCATATGGATTGTTCCTCCAGTCTCCAGGGATGATGAGACCTGCACAGGTCCTTTTCTGTGCAGGAGACAGACCCAAACAAAGGGGCGGTGGGGCAGAGCCATGCAAAGCTCCTAGTGGGAAGGGGAAGCACTTCTGCCTGCTCCCCAAGACCTGCCCTGGCTGCCTGCACAGCTGCAGCTCTCCAGATGGTCACAGGGAGCTAGAAGGTCACCCAGTGGAACCTGGGCCTTCACTGGCCTCACTGGGATCCTGTCCTGCCTGTGCTTCAGGTCCTCTGTGATCATTACTGGCCATCGGAATCTGCCCCAGTGTCCTACGGGCAGGTGCAGGTCCATCTGCTGACACAGAGCAGCTCTGAGGAGTGGACCATACGTGAGTTCAAGCTGTGGCACGTGAGTACATATCCAAGGGGATGTGTGGACCTGTTGAGGCCTGGGGGTTCACATGGGATGCACGTGCATTTCTCCTTGGTGGTGGTGGCATAACTGTCTTTCCCTGCCCTTCGCAGGGCTCAGAGAAGACCCAGGCCCTGGGTCACTTCTGTCACTTCAGGTGGGTGACGCAGAGATGTCCATCATGTGTCACCCTTCTCTCTACCCTTACTCTCTCCTTCCCACATCCCTGCCCTGGGACAGCCTGCAGCTTCCAGGACATGTTCCCAGGCAGTCTCCTCCCTCCCACCCCATGTGTCCCACCATGGCAGGAGGCTGTGGGAGAGGTAGTAGCAGACCTGGCGTTGGCTCTTCCCTGCAGCTGAGCCAGGTGTCCCCAAGTCCCCAGGTGCTTCCAGGGCTGTGGGTGTGAGGTTGCCTCTGTCCTAGAGGGCTGCACACCCACATCCAACACACCCTGCAGGAGGGGCTCCAGGCAGAGCGCTATGTGTCCCACCTGCACTACACAGCATGGCCTGACCATGGGGTCCCAGAGTCCACCACCTCAATCATGACCTTCCGAGAGCTGGTCCGGGAGCACATCCAGAGCACCAAGGATGCAGGGCCGACCCTCGTGCACTGCAGGTGAGGCTGTGCCCAGGGAGTGGCAGTTGGGGCTGATGGGAGAGGGTGAAGTACAAGGGCTCTATTCATGCACTAACTGGGAGGGAAGCAGTGCCCCAGGAGACACAGCTGGTCTGTGGAGTGTCCTGCTTGGGCATTGGGGAGTACAGGTCTGCTGGTAGCCTGGTCCCAGCCCCAGGGCACAGGTCAGCACCAACTCAGGCCAGCTTGAATCGCTCCTCAGCCCCATGCCATGCTGGGACAGGGCTCCAGGGTGCTCAGACCAGTGCCCAGGGAGCTGCCTCTGGGAGCATGTCTAGCAGCAGGAGGGGAGCCCATTGGTGGTGGTGTCAGGCCATGTTTAACCCTTGCTGCCTGTGCCCCCAGTGCTGGTGTGGGCCGCACTGGCACCTTTATTGCCCTGGACCGGTTGCTGCAGCAGATGAAGCAGGAGAAGGTGGTGGACATTTTTGGTGTTGTTTACGCCTTGCGGATGAACCGGTACCTGATGATTCAGACGCTGGTGAGACCTCTGCTCCTTCTGCTCCCTCTTTCCCCTGGCCCCTTGCTTCATGGCATTGAAGCTCTCAGGGCTGTCAGTCAGATGAGCTGGCTGGCCAGCCCCAGCACCCCCAGGCTGCAGCCTGTCACTGTGTCTTGGTGCTGCTCAAAGCAGCAGCTCAGCTGGAGTGGAAATTGCTGGGTTGGGTCTTCAGCAGCTTCATGCCCTGCTAGACCCACAGCAGCAACATCCAGAGCCTCAAAGACCTCCCAGGAGGCTCGGAAACAGCCTAGAGCACTGAGGAACAGGATGAGGCCCTTTGCAGGCAATTCTTGTTGTTGGCCTGTGATGCTCGGCAGTCTGTCTCATATCTCCAGTCCTTGGGGGTTGGACAGGGTGTCTGAATTACCGTTCAGGACAAACAGACCTGGAGGGGTTCTGAGTCGCTGCAGCCAAGGCTTTTTGGGCACAAATGCTGGGCTTTTAGGGCATTAATGTAGGACCCCATCTGCCCAGCAAGCAATGCCATACCCATCCTCTCAGGCTGGCTGTGTGGTGCAATGCTCTTGTTGTCTGCCTTTTGCTTCCAGTCCCAGTATATTTTCCTGCACAGTTGCATCCTGGACAAGATCTTGGAGGAACCTCTCCTGAGTTTTTCAGGGACAGAGAGGTAAGGTCCTGCTCTGCTTTGCCACTCTACCCACCCTGATCCATGACCCCTCCAGGTGGCAAGCTGGGGTTCAGAGCCCAGCCTGAGCCTTGGCTTCCAGGGCAGGATGGGGAAGCCTAGTCAGTCATTCCACTCCGTACTTTGAGCAGGATCAGCACAGAGCTGGTTGCTCCCTGCAGCATGGGGAGCCCAGGACAGAACAAGGTGTGAGTCCCTGGACACACCAGGAGGGCTTGGTGGCCACATCCTGCTTTCCTCCAGGGCCAGTCTCCTAAGTATGCCAAAGATCTGCAGAGCTGTCCTGGGGAAAGCGTTTCCCTCAGCCCCGGCTTCCCAGCCCACGGGAATGCTCTAGAGATAGGTTCAGACTGGAGGGGCATATGGCAGCTGGGTGACCTTGGGATGTCCCTCCTAATAGAAACCAAGAGGAGGGAGCAGGGTCTGACTGGGCATGGCTTTGCCCACCTACCTTATTGTCTCAGGGGCTACGTCTGGAGGTCACGTACCTGTCTTTGTTGTCAAATTGTCTCCTCCCTCACACAGAACAGAATGTCCTTGTCCTTGCTGCCCACTGGGAATGTGCCCTGGGCTGTGCCACACCTCAGACCTGCCTTAGTCTAGGGGAGAGCAGGTTGTCATGGGCCAGAGCTGGGCTGGGGGACCTGGGACACCCCCAGCACGTGAGGGGTGAAGGTCTGCTTGCAGCCCTGTCCACCTGCTGCAGACACAGTCTGGGTGCTGCTGAGGGTGCTCAGCCTCACCTTACGCTCTGGTTCTCTCTCCAGGTCCTGCCCCATCCCACTGAAGAGCTTTGCCCAGCACTATGCCCAGAAGGCAGCCAAGTCCCACGTGGGCTTCCTGAGGGAGTATGAGGTGAGAGCTTTCCTGGGCAGGTACCGGGAGTGCTGCCATGGCCATATGCATTGAGGGGACCTGGGGAGAAATTACACGTGGTTTGGCTGGAGGACATCCCATAGGTGCCTCCTGGGTGGGTCCCATGCCCCAGTTTCCATGTTTCCTGAGTGTCCTGGCAGTGTCCCCTCTCCATGGCATTGTGTCCTTAGGCACATAGCTCCTTCACACATCCTACTCTGATCAGGGTCTGTTCATGACCTGCTCCTTCCAGATCCCATGCAGGGTAGGGACCTACCTGGGCACCATTCCCCTACAGAGACGCAGCCTACCTGTCTCCTGGCAGCGTGACACCGTCCTGGCAGCCCACCCAGACTGGTCTCATGGCCCCCCTGCTCAGGCTTCTGCCTCTCCCAGGCCAGGTGTCCTCAGAGTCCCCTGTTCCTCCTGCTCCTCCAGACCCTTCCTGTTCACTCCTTCTTCCACTCTCTCTTACTCTGGCAGACCCTCCTGGAAGCTGTCAAGGAAGAAGCCAGCTCTGCATCACCATCTTCAGGCAGCCAGCAGACAAGGCCCTCTTCCAGCATCCTCCCATGTAAGTGCCATGACACCTTGCATCCTCTTCCTTCCTCTTCCTCCTACATGGAGCCAGACTGGACCAGGGCTGGTGTTCCACAGCACAAGGAAGTATTATGAGACTTCAGTGACCCCACCAGAAGGCTACTGAGGTGTTTGGGCTGGAGCACATGGTGTTTGGGACTAGGATGAGTGAGTTTGTTCCAAAGGAGAGAAGGCAAAGGAGATCTTATTGCTGTCTTCAGCTACCCGTGGGAAGGCACAGGGAAAACATAGAGTCATCTCAGAGGTCCACCATGGAAGGACAAGAGACAATGGGGATGATTTGGAAGGGTAATCCTACTCAGTAGAAGGACTGATGAATTCCCTTGGGGGTGATCACCCAGAGTACCTGTGGGCTCTCCATCCTTGGAGACACACAGATCTCCATGGGCCCAGACACAGAGTGACCTGTGCTACAGGGATTGGCTTTGAGCAGGAGGTTAAGATAGAGACCTGTCTTTTGGAAGCCAATGTCTGTGGGCTGGAGAGGAGTGCTGCAGAGGGCAGTGTCCTTGCCGAGGAATGGTGCAGAGAGGGTTGGGTTTGTGTGGCACTCGGTCTGCAGGAACTGTGTGAGCTCAAGTCTGCCCTGGATCCCCCCAGCTTCCACATATTTTGCAGATGATCGCTCCAGAGTGAAGTTTTCCCTGCTGGAACAGGGCCCTTTCTCAGAACTCCTGCAGGTGTGGCATGTCCCGGTGAGTCATATCCCCAGCAGCAGAGCCCACCCTGTGCCTGGGTCCCCATCCTTGCCATGCCCCTGCTCCCTGCTGCCTGAATCCTGCTCTGCACCATTGCTCACTGCCACTGCCATCCTGCATGGACAAGAGGGGACTGCGGGGACTGAGGGGACTGCAAGGACTAAGGATGTGTCTTCTCTCACCTGCCCAGTTTGGGCTGTCCTCACTTCCCTCCCTCAGTGCTTTCTCTTCTGTCTTTGCCTCCTGACCTGCTGAGCTTCCGTTCTCTTCACGGCCTCTACCACAGCTGCCTGGGCTGATGGGGCACCTGTGCCATCCTCTCCAGCAGGAGAGTGACATTTCCATTCCCCACCCAGGGCTGCAGCCCCAGCAGGGACTACCTGGCTGTCCAGGGCCCTGACAAACTGACCATGGAGGACTTCTGGACCCTGGTGTGGGAACAGGATGTTCACACCATCCTAACACTTCTGCCGTGGCAGGAGAAGGGGGAGGTAAGGCGCTGTGCACAGCTGTAACATGACAGAGCAGGGATCTGTTCAGTGGAGCTGGAACTAGCACAGCTCCAAAGCTGGACCTCTTCACTCCCTCCTGAGGCCTGGGTGCAGATCCAGCTTAGTTAAAGCCGGACCTTTCCTGTGTTCAAGTGCTCCCACAGCTTGTCATGGGAGTCAGCTTCTGTCTGCCCCCCCGTGCTTGGACTCAGCTGGTGCCCTTCAAGCTGCATCTCCATGGAACTCCAGGCAGCAGCTTCTGCTCTGCCCAGCCACAGTGGAGAGCACTGGTTGAGCAGATTGCCACTGCCAGGCAGCTCTGGTTTCACAGGGAAGATGGCTGAACCTGCTGATATTCCCAGAACTCCTTCAGGGTTTAGCTAGGGGACATCAAGAGATGCTGGTGGTGCTCTTGATCCAACCCCACCACAGACTCCTAGGACTGTGACTGATGTGACAAATGATGACCATCAACAGGAAACCAAACTTGCTGTGCACACAGGTCTCAGGTGAGGCTTGCTGGCCCCTGGAAGGAGACTCACTCTGCATGAAGACACTAACCATCCAGTGTGGCACAGAGAAGCTTGTCTCAGGGTGGAGATGTACCCAGCTCAAACTGAAACATGTATGTGTCTGTGGGGCTGACCTGGCTCCCACCACCCAGGATGGAGGCCTGTTGGGGAGTGTAGGGGCTGAAAGGTGTATGGGGACTTCTCTGGGCTGCAAGAGCAGAATGCCAGCAGTCCACAGATGCAGGAGGCAGTCTGGATTGCCACATCCAGAACTGAGTGAACACAGGAGACATATGGGAGAGGCCCTAGGGGCTTCTCCCACCCCTTACTGATAGGTCTTTCTGACCTCCTTTGAAAAGGCCCACACAGTTCTCACTCCCTTCTCCAGGAGCAGGTTGGGGTGCCATGGGGAAGGAAAGCAAGTAGTCAGAGACACTGTACTCCCTGCACATGGGTGGTGGGCAGTGCCCCAGCAGAGATACCTGGACAGCTTTCCAGAAGCTGGCAGTGAGCTCAGAAAAACATCAGAGAGCCTAAGGGTGGGCAAGCTGGGACCCCTCTGCATCCAAACACACCATCCCTTCAGTCATGTCAGCTCTTTGTATCTCACCAGGAGAAGAAAGCAAAGGAGAGGCAGGTACAGCGATTCCTGTACACGCTCTGGAGCAGCAAGAAGCAGCCTGATGTCCAGAGCCTGGTGGAGCTGCTCACAGCTGTGAGACGATGCACGCCGCACCGGAGGAGAACTGGTCCTCTCCTGCTGCACTGCAGGTACCCCAGGTTACACCTCCATCCATCGGCGGCTTCCCAGAGCTGGGAGCCACTAGGCTGCACAGTTCCTTGGCATGACCTCAGCAAGCTTTCCCCTCCATCACAGACCCCAAGGTTTTGGGACATGTTAAGAGCTGGTCCATCTGAGCCAGGGGAAGCTCTGAGCTTGGGAGGTCATAGGGAGCAGTGCTCTGCCAAGCCTTGGGAGAAGGGAGGGTGAACAGAGCTGGGCCAGGGGTGAGCATGGATGAAGCAGACATTCCTGGGCTGAGGTGCCCAGGTGATCCCTGGGCAGACTGCTGGGATCCTGGAAGCAGCCCTGACATCCTCACCTGCATGCACCCAATGAGAACTCCCACAGTGCCCTCAGTGCTGGCAGACTGGCAGAGCTGGCATGGGTGAGGGGGACATGGCTCAGCGGTGCAGGGTGGGCTGGATCTCCAGGCTCCTTCAGTGGGCACTTTTGGGTCCCATCCCCTGGCCTCCTTGGCACCTCAGCCAGTGCTCACAGTCCTCTACTCCAGCATACGCAGCTGATGCATGTTTTCTAATGGGGCTTCTGACTCCCTTGGGCTCATGCCCTCTTCCAGAGAGGTTCAGCTTAGCCTGGCCTGGCATCAGTGACCCTCCCTTGTCCTCTGCAGCGGTGGCGTGAGCCAGATGGGGACACTGATCTCCCTGGATTGTGTGTTGCACCAGATGAAAGCTGAGAGATTTGTGGACATCTACGGTGTGACCTTCCAGCTGGCCAGAAGCTGCTGCCTCATGACCCCAACTCTGGTAGGTGGGAAGGAGAAGTGGTGGTGGGCTGAGCAGAGAGCCTTCATGCTGACCTGCCTGGAGCTGGCAGCATCCTGCCCGCTCCTGTGTGTTACCTGCTCCTTGGGAGCCCATCCTGCTTAGGCAGGGATTTACTCCATGCTTCCTCCCCATTCTGCAGCTCTGCCAGCCACTGAGTCCTCAGGGCACTGCCTTTTCCCAGGGAAGAGTTTTCCATCTCAGTTCTGGAGTTAAGATTGGTTAAATTGCCTGTGATCTCGCAGTAAATGCAAAGCACTCTTCTCACTCTGTCCTGGGAATTGTGGAGCACTAGTAGCATCCTCCTTAACAAACCTGCATGCTCGCCCTTGGGTCCTGAACATGGCTGTCAGCCTGGTTACCCAGAATCTGCTGGGTATCCCCTTACCCAATGCCTTTCTTGCTACATCCTCCACACCCAGAGCCTGCTGCCAGAGCTGGGCCTCCTGCCAGGGGGACAGTGGGACATGCTGTCACATTAGCAGCTGCCACTGTCTGATGGTGCCAAGCCGTGCCAGCCCAGCCCCACAGACCTCGACGTGCCATTCCTCACAAGCACTGGTGGCACCGATGCCTCTGGACAGCACTTGAATTGCTGCAACTGCTGAATGAGCTGATGCACATCCCTGGAAACCCTCCCCACAGGGCACAGTAGAACTGGGGCAGATCTCTCTAGGGCTTCCCAGCTGCAGAGCCGCCTGCAAGCAGCTGTAATTGCATTCTTAATTAATATGAACCATGCGCGTGGTGGGAGCCAGAGGAGGGCAAGGCATGCACTGCCCCTGCCCCAGAGCTGCTTTGTGTTCCTGTGGCATCCGGCAGCGCAGGGACACAATGTGCCCATAAAGGCACAGCAAGCACCCACCAAGCACCACTGCCGGCTCAGGGCGGTCAGCAGAGGAGCTGTCTCCCTGCCTCGCCACAAGCAGTGGTCGCTCAGATCCCAGCACAGCCAGTGGGGCAGTGCAGGGATGCCCTCCAGCCTCCTCCATCCCTGTGGGACTTGCTAGCACCCCTTCATCTCTGGCAGGGGCACACTGCTGTCATCTGGGGGGGCATCAGTTGATTTTTTGTGGGGGGAAGATGAACCTTTGATGGATAATCCATGGATAACTTCTGGATATTAAGCACCACAAGCTCCGGCATGGGGATGTGCTCTTGCGTGCAGCCAGGCAGTGAGTGTGCCTGGGCTGAAGTCAACCCTGGGCTGTCACTGCAGATTTCACAATCAGACATTGCTCATTGAAAACACACTCTAGTGACCTGGAGGCTCAGCCTTTGTGTGATCCGTGCTGTTCCAGCCCTTCGGTGGGACTAAGCCCTCTACCGCAGGTCTGAGGCTCCTCGTGACTTGCAGCTCAGCCAGCGCATTAATGAGCTGCTCAGAGGCCCCTCAGAACAGTCCCTAATCCCCCTGCCCTTTGCCATGTGACAGACCCACACCATTTGCCTGCTGGCCCTGCCCTCCAGCTCTGTGCCCTGAGTACAACCTCATTTACCTGCCCCACATCTTGCCTTCCTCAGAGCCTGCCTGCTCTGTCCTGCGTGTGCAGCCTGGGGTCATTTTGGAGCAGCCTGTCATTTGGGCATAACCTCATGTCAAACCCATGGGGGACTTGAGACCTCTGGACCCACATTTGGAACTGATGGGTCATTTTGCTCATCTTAAAAAGAGACAGTGCAACTGGGCTAAAACCACCCAGATTGTTTTGTGTACCTCTAAGACTGCAGAGATCTACTCTGATCCACTGTCAGCGCCTGACTCAAGTACACTGAGACCAAGGGAAACTCCTGCTCCAGGGGTCTTTCCTTGCAGCCTCGAGTCAGTGCCAGACCCCATGCTCCCCAGCTCCCTGCCTTGCAGCATCAGAGTTGCTCTTTGCTCTTGTTTTGGATGCAAACACTATGGCACATCCAAAAGCTGCTGGGACACTTGAAGGAAGCCTCATGACATTGTTCCTCCTCATCTTGGATGGGATGTTCCTCTCAGCCCCATCATGGGGGGTTGCAGCAGGGGGAAACAACATGGTGTAACAGTCCTGATTCTTCCTTACTGGGCAGCTGTGGTGACACAGGACAAACAGGGACCACTTGGGAAAGCAAATCCTGCTCTGCTATCAAGACGCTGTTCCTTAATTAGGATCCTTTAAGGCAAATTGCAGGGTTGGTCCGTGACCAGTAGGTCGACTGTCAGAAACCTGACTCTGACACCCCCTTTCTCTCCCACAGGACCAGTATGTGTTCCTGTACACCTGCATCCAGGACATCATTGTTCAGAACCAGCCCTAACTTGGCACTTCCTGGCACTGTCCTGCCCTGCCTCTCTGTGCGCTCCTGTCCAGAGCTGGGAGATGGGGTGAGAGCACCGTGGGACTACCTGCACAGAGCAAGCCCTGAAGCAAGCAGTGACCTACCCTGGCACTGACCCCAGTGCATCCCACGTGGTGTGAGCAGTGACACAGAGGCTCCTGGACAGACGGGCAGTGTCCTGCCAAGCACCACTGCAGCACCTCGGTGAGGACACGGCTAGGGAGTGGGCAGGATGCTACTCTGCTTTGGACATCTCCTGGGATTCCTGGTGCCTGGAAGGTTTGCTAACCTCTGTGGTACACAGGCCAGCTGTGGGGCTTTGCGGTGGCACTGAGTGAGGTCTGACACAAGCGTGGAGCACCGTGGTCTCCACACGCTCACGGGCACTGGTGTGTTGAGATCTCAGACACACTGTGGGCACAACACACTGGCAGCTGGCTTGTCTCAGCTGGTGGGTAGGTCTT